CCTTGCAGTGGCTAAAGACACACATTGGAGAGATACAGCCATGGGAGGGTGCCACATTGAGACTTGTAGAGGGAACAGAAATTCCTCACACTGAAGTCTTTACGGCGTACCTTCCCGAAAGTAAGGATTATTCCACGGAGAAAATTCTAGGTCTAATAGAGGCTCAAAACTCTAGCCTCCATACCTCCGCATGGAGAATACTGAATAGGTCTACGAGTGGAGCCGTGAAAATTCTAACCCTTTCAGTGGACAGCCAATCCGCTGGCTAAATCAACGGGACATACGATCAATTACAGATATGGTCATACGGTCCTAAGTGACAACAGTTGTAGAAATCAACCCACAACAAGCGGGTTCTCAAGATGACTCCAGGAGAACAGGCAAGCAAAAGCCTGACTACAAGAAATCAGCTAGCGGGTCTCAAAAACCTTTTACGCGATCTAAGGCCCCAAATGAGCAAAAAAGTGCTCAAGATCAATCCAGAGGACAAGCAAGCAAAGGCCCGACTCCAAGGAATCAGCTAGAGGCCAAAAAAAATCTAGGAAACCAGACAATAAAGGCAAGTGGAAATTAAAAAATCCCCAAACCAACCTAAAAAAATGATTCAAAAGCTGAAATATTTGCAGATAAACCTTTAACATTCAAAAGCAGCTACTAGTGTGCTTAGAAAAAGGTTTATTGACGACAGCCTAGCCATTGCCCTCCTACAGGAGCCTTGGATTAATGGAGGACGAATACAAGGACTCATATCAGGTAGGTTACTCTATAATATTAATACTGACAATTCAAGAACAGCATTACTGCTCTCGCATAATATAGAATATCCTGTTTCAGAATTTACCACGGCAGATTTGGTAACCGCAATAGTGGAAATGCCAACAGAAGTAGGCAAGAGGCAAATTGTTACTGCTTCGGCCTATTTTCCGGGTGACTCTGGAAACCATCCACCTCCAAAGGAAGTTCAAAGACTCATGGGATGGTGCAAGAGCAAGAACAGACAATTAATTATTGGCTGCGATGCAAATGCACACCACACAGTATGGAGTAGCACAGGAATCAATAACAGGGGTGGGCACCTCCTGGACTATATATCTGCTAATAACTTAGATATTGCAAACAGAGGTAACAAACCCACATTTATAAACGCAATTAGGAAAGAGGTTCTTGATATAACCCTAACTAGTTCGTTTATAGCAAATAAAATATACAATTGGCATGTCTCGAATGAAGCCTCAATGTCGGACCATCAACACATAAGGTTCGACTTGGGTGCATCTGAGGAGCGCCTTGAGGAATATCGAGTCCCAAAACAGACCGATTGGGACACTTATAAAGTGTCTCGAAAACGAAATGGAGGAACCCAACTCTGTGTCGCTCGACACAGAGGAAAATCTACACCGAGCCTCATAGTAACTTCAAAATGCCATAATAAAAGCCTATAAATCAAGTTGTTCCCTGTGATAATTAAACTTAGAAAAAACGTCAGACAATTCTTCAATACGGCAAAATCTACAGGTAGTTGGGACTCCTACAGAAACTCCCTTACCGAGTACAACAAAGAACTAAGAAAATCAAAGAGAAACTCATGTGCGAAGGGAAAAAGGCCGAATGGTGACTATACTGAGAGTCTAACGGAAACTATTAGAGAGCTGTTGAAGTCCCATTTTCCTGGCTCTCAGCAAATACAAGTAGATGAACCGCAAAGTATGCAGCTGGCAAAGGCTCCAAGGGCCTCAACAGATCCAGCAGGCAAGAAGCGGGAAAAATCTTTAGACAAAATAAAATCGAATGGGCCGTAAAAAGCTTTAAACATTTTAAATCCCCTAGTAAGGACGGAATATTTCCTGCTTTTCTCCAAAAAGGCTTCATGCAAATACAGCCGCAACTACAGCGGCTTTTCATAGCAAGCTTTGTGTTAGGTCATATTCCAAAAACTTGAAGGGACGCAAAGATGGTATTTATACCAAAGGCGGGGAAATTTCTTACGGAGGAAGCGAAGTCTTGTCGTCCTATATGCTTGACCTCCTTTCTCCTAAAAACAATGGAGAAACTAGTAGATTACTACATAAGAAGCGAAACTTTAGTAAGGAAACCACTTCACCAACATCAGTTTGCCTACCAGACGGGCAAATCCACTATAAATGCTCTGAATTTGCTAGTCCAAAGAATTGAAAAGACAATAGTGGCAAAAGAAATAGCTCTTTGCGCTTTCATTGACATAGAGAAAGCACTCGATAATACCTCATTTGAATCCATAAAAAGAACACTAGTAATGAGGAGCATTGAAGTCTCACCAATACAATGGATTCAGTCAATGCTAAAAACGAGAATCATCACTGCTATTATTAAAGGAGAATCGTTAATTGACCGTTAAGTCAATGTTGTCAAGAGTTAAATTAAAACAATATAAAATTGCATGAATTGGGAATCTTCCTGCGTTTTGTGATTCTGTTTTTTTGTTTTTATTAAAATAATTTATTCCTTATATTGATGTTTCTTCAAATTAATACCATTGTTAATGCTACAGATCTTTTAAAGGTAAGATTATTTACTTAATTGTTTCTCATATTAGATGTATAGCTAATAACACTCTTTTAGATGAACTGATGATGCTCATTGAACAGTGGTCGAAACGTCTTCAATAAATAGATAAAGTAGCACAACCCTTGTCTTTTTTATCTCCAAATGGACCGAAAACATCCCATTCACTTACGAGTGCACTTTTTTTTATATTATACTTATATGTATGTACATATTTAGATTTAAGTACAATAGACACATATGTTAAATATTATGTAAGGTAAGTGATCCAAATTCAGACACTGTCCTAAATTTAGACATATTTCTGTTAATTCGGTTAAAATAAGAATTTTGGTATATCCAGATAAATATTAAGACATCTATTGGTTTAATTTAACATTGATTTTTTCGTTTCAAAATTAGTTTCCTATCTTACCTACATTGGATCTGTCAATATATAACCTAAAAGTTGGACGGTTCTTGCAAATTGTGTGTTGTATCTATCGAGAATGAATTTCTAATAAGGTAATCTGATTCCAGCTATTATTTTATTTATAAGATATTACTAGTTAAGAAAATTGGAATAAACTTTGTTGAAGTTTTATGTAAGGGCTTTAAATTTTCATTTTAAGTTGGAATTCTATCAGTAAAATTACAGCATCCAAAAATTTTAATGGTGTCAGAATAAGGTACAAGAAATTTCCTGTGTTTCGTAAATCAGACACTGGGTGTCGAAATTACGTACTTAAGTTATAAAGTGGATATAGTTATGTTTCTTTCGTTTCTCTTTTATTAATATAAGTCTATACCATTTTAGTTAGTAGAATTATTTTTTACAGCTTGTATCCAAATTCCGACACAGGTGTCGGAGTTAAGGACTTTAACTGCTGTCCGAATTATGTTTAATTTGTGTAAACAGATATTCTCTATTATTTTAACATTTAGATATCATTTGCAATCGTTTTTTGCTTTATTTACAGAATGTCGACGAAAAAGAAGGCATATACCCAAGATGATGTAAGACGTGCTTTAGATGCCATTAAAGGTGGAACACCTTGTTTAGCCGCAGCGAGGCTATATAACGTCCCGAGAATTACACTCATTGGGAAGATCCAGGACATTTACCCAGAAGAATGTCGCAGCGGAGCACCTTCTGTACTCTCCGTTTATGAAGAGAATCTATTGGTTCAATGGATAATTAATATGGGGCGAATGGGGTTTCCTGTCACCAAGACCAATTGCTCGATAGTGTTTGCCTTCTGATAAAAAATTTAAAGCACCCTAACAATTTTACAGATGGAAGACCAGGTCGTCACTGGTATGAATTATTTACCAAAAGGCATCCAGAAATTAGTGAACACATAGCTCAAAACTTATGTACATCTCAAGCAGCCGCAACTGAAAACAAAATCAGAAACTGGCATAAGGAAATTGAAGAATACTTTATTTCATGTAATATTAATATAACTGATCCAAAAAGAATATACAACACGAATAAGTCTGCTTTTTTTCTCTCGCCAATAAAGTGGAATTTGAAGCTGATGATACGTTACAAAGAGTAATTTTGGACATTCAAGACATCGTTAAAGATACTGAAACCGAAGCAGAACTTCTTGGCCTTAGCGCATATGCTTAAAAAGAATTAACAATTATTGAAGAAATGCAAAGCATTGACCAAACAGACACGAAAGAAATATTCGACGAAACAACAAAAACTAATGTTATAGGAAAGAAAATTAATGTATTAGAAATTATTTCATTGACCGCAGAAAAACGAATTGATATCATTGAATGCGAGCAAATACCAAAGGAATCAGTCAATAATAAAAATAATAGTAAATAAATATTAGGGAACGTTCAGTTGACTCAGAAACACAAAATAATATCAGTGAAGGTGAGCAAGTAAAAGAGGAATCAAAGAAGAGGAAAATAATACTGAAAAATATTAGTAACCTTACAATTGACACCAGAAAAATCAACTGTTATTGAAGAGAAGCAACTAAGAGAGGAATTAGTCAATAAAGATGAAGATATGAAGACTTGCAGAAATAATAAACATTCTCGTGTTCTGCCAGGAGTGGTTATACCATCCCCGTTTAAAAACTCATTGTTCTGGCCTGAACCTACGAAAAAAATAACCTCAAGAAAGTGTCGAAATAAGATTTCTTCGGTAGGCACCTCCGACGCTTGAAGACAATATTTATTGAAAAAAGACGAAGAACAGAAAAACGCAATTAGAGAAAAAGAAGAAAGAGAAAAAGAGAAGAAAATAAAAAATTGCGCGAGGAAAATATAAAAAAACCTAGAAAAAAGATCATTAAAAATAAACCAAAAAGTACAGAAGAAGAAAAAGATGGATCAGTTAGTGACAAACAGTCAACTAAAGATAACGATGAGAATTAAAATGCAGGTAAGACACCATTTTATTTAAGTAACTAGGTTTTTTGCTTAATTTTATTCTACAATAATAATTATTTTAGATGAAGTTTTGATTGGAGAAATAAAAATAGGTGATTTTGCAATTGTCACCTATTTTGAAGAATATTATCCAGCACAAATTACAGATAAAAACAGTGAAAAGATGTTGGCTAATGCAATGGTTAAGGCTGGCGGTTGGTGGAAATGACCAACTCTAAAATATGAAACTTGGTATGATAACCATGAAGTTGTTAAGAAGATCAAACATCCCACAGAAATAAATAAAAAAGGATTTTTTTCTATTAACGAATTAGAAACGCATAATAATATATAATGTTTTTTTTTTATTTTTTTTTATTTAGAATTTCCGCATTAACTATTACAGGTTATTAGCGGGTTTTACAAATTTTACAGTTGTTATTACAAATACAAATTTACTAATTACAAATTGCGTATTAAATTACACATAATAAATTACAAATTACATTACAAAAAGATACATATAATATAACTTAAATTTTGTGTAGTAAACGTATGTCCTTAAGGAATTTAATTGTATTTGATATATTACTGTTTAAAATATCTTTAAGTTTCTTTGCTTCTTCTGGTACGTTGTTGATGGCTCTTTCGTAGGAATAAAGAGGACATTCAATCAATACATGTTGAACACTTATTGGACATTCACAATAGGAACATTCAGGTGGTAGTTCTTTTGTTACGAGATGCTGGTGAGTTAACGCTGTATGTCCAATTCTTAGTCGGTTTATAATCACTTGTTGCCTTCTGTTTTCTGGAAATTGTAGTTTAGTGCCAATCCCAGTTTTCACGTTTTTAAGGTTAGCCTTTTTAGAATTCCACATTTGTTGTCAATTTTTTACACAGTGCTGTTTAATATTGAGCTGGATATCACTGAATGGAATTGTAGTCATAATTTCAGTTTGCTCGTCAGTAGCAGCTTTCTTTGCAATATATAATGTTATAAATAATCTGCCCTATTTTATATTAACTTTTCTTAAAAATTAGTGACTTTATTTATTGTCGGAATAATATTCCTCAAATGTCTGATTTAGGATCAGTGTCTAAATTAGGTTCACTGACATGTCTGATTTTAAAGCAAACTGCACTCCTGATGTCGGAATTAGGTGATTTGTGTATGCTTATAATAAATATAAAAATATAATTAACTTGTCGAAGTTTTATGATTAATAATTTGTAAGGTTCTCTTAGAAATAGTTATTAATTCGAGAAAATAAAAACTGTTAAAGGTTACTCAATAAGTATTAATTCCAATAAATAAAATGGAACGTGAAAGCCTAAACATGTCTGAATTTGGGCCACTGGCCTTATAATATGTTATTATAACATATAAGTATAGATAAAGTAACACATTTTTGCGTCATAAATCTAGGTACAACGAACTAACTGTTCCTACCAGTGTAATATGATTTATAGCAACCTGTTAATTATAATGGATAGAACCGCTCACATAGAACACTGGCTACAATGTACAAAAACCACTAGTCCCCTGAAGTTCGTTATAAACGATTTTGACTGTATATCCTTTCGAATGGCCAAACCCAAAACTGAATCGAGCATGGTGCAATTTTGACCATCTTATCCCCCTATAGCCTTTCTTCCGATTCAAATACGAATCAGGATCCTCTTGCGGTGTATCAATTTTAATGTGTGTTCCATCGATGTAGCCGGGAAACCCATTTCCTCAAAACTTCTTGCAATAATTCTTGCTTCTTGGGTGGATGGCCACACAATTACTTTTTCGGATAATTGTGAAAAATAATACACAACCGAATTTACATATGTCTGTAGTGTGCTAATTGATAAATTAAATCTATCTGCAACATCTCTAAATGTTACACCTTGGTTACTTGTAAACCGTAAAAAAGTCAAGTGATATTTTTCACTGTTTATCCTGTTAAAACCAGTGTCTTTCTTCGGATAAAACTCTGACTGTTTAAAGTCTACTTTCAACGTTTGGACTAGTTGTTGTCACCAGATCCGGAAGCGTCACCTAACCAGTGCGCATCCGGATCTGCTCATTTCGCACTTCTAAGCCTTCTGATTGGCCCCGGACGTTATAATATTTTCTGATTGGTGAGTTACTGGTCACGTCCATTTTGCACACCTCACCAAGGACGAAAATAGGATAAAAGAACGTGCACAATCTCCAGAAGGCCTATTCGGTTCTGAGTCTGAACTAGCTAAGACCTCTGGTTGGGGAATATCCATTTATGTTAAATCACTAGTTCTTTTACTCGAAACCTTGGTTGAGAATTAGACTTCTCAACCGATCCACGTTGTTCCAGCTTGGTATTTTTAATATTCTTATAGAATATTGTTTGGTAATTCTTTTATATTTACTTTCAGGTTTATTTCCATTTTATTGTTGCCATTTACCTGTTGTATATGTTATTTTGCCATTTTTACCAATTGCTGTGCAATTGTAGATGCTATTTATATTTTGCTACTTTGTTTTAACCTAACGATTTTTGATATTAATATTCATTTGAATTTACCTTGTCGTTTGACATTATTATTACTATTATTATACGTGCTTATTTTCTGTCGCAACACCGTTGCTCCAGGGTATTTAATATCCGTTTGTGTTTCTTTTCCAGCATATCGCATTTAACCATACTTTCTCTGACAGCTTATTTTACGTCTCTATTGCTTTTTTGTCTGTTTATATATATATATATATATATATATATTATATATATATATATATATATATATATATATATTTGTGTGTATATGTACTTGTTTATCGTTCTACCTTTTCTTCCAGCTCGTATTACAAATATATGTTTCAATTCTAATTGCATATTACTTATTTCACCTATTTGCACGTTCCTTGTGTTTACCATTTGTTATAGGCACCTCTCAGGTCCTCCACGTGGCGCGTCTGAAGTCAGTTCGTACTTCTGCTTTGCCACAGCAGCTTAGCAACAAAGCACGCCTTCTTACGCTTGACCAATGAGTTGTTAACCCGTTCTATACGTGTACTAAAGACGGTTTCCGAATATTTATTATTCCGAAATTCAAAATTTTGTACGTCGTATTGTGAGCGGGCAACTCGGAACAAGCAAAAAGTGTGTTCCAACCATTTCTACCCGGTCACACACGTCATCCGTAGAGGAACTTCGAGATACTCTTGCAGAAGAAAAAAAGGTGACGAACTGACTATGGCCACAAGTTATTAAAAATAAACAAACTTGTCTTCGTGTCTTTCATTTCTTTTTCCCCTGTTTTCTTTTTGTCTTAAGTCTTTTCAGCGGCTCTTTCATAGCGACTGAAGGCGATCCACAGGCTTCCGTGGATTTACCTCAGCGACATTGTCTTAAAACTCTAAAAAAATGTAGACTAATTAGTATAATATCAATATTTTAGATAATAAATATGAAAACAAACTCTTGCAGTCACAATACTTTTACTGATATTCATACTTTACAGTAGAACCTCAATTATCCGTGCGGTGGATTCTCCGTGCCGCATATTAGATTGGACATCCGTGCGCGGATTATCCGTGGCTTGCGGCCAGCGGTTGGGGGCGCCCATGAACGCTGAATAATGCACCGTGTAAACATTCATTTCGGGAAATCCCCAAGTTTTCTCGTATTTTCGCCAACTGCTGACCGGTTCGTTAGTTGAACGCAAACAGGCGCACAAAATGCAGCGTACGGGTGCTAATGAAAAGCGTAAACGCAATGTTTTAACTATTGAGCAAAAAATGGAAATTTTGAAACAATTTGAAAATAAAATAAGTGTTGCTATGTTGGCTAAAACATATAATATTGGGAAACAAACAGTTCGTGACATTCTCATAACGGAGCACGACCTAAAACCTGAGCAAGTGTATAATGCAGACGAAACTGGGCTTTATTGGAAAGCAATGCCGAGAAGAACCCTTGTTGCATGCTCAGAAACGAGTGCATCAGGTTAGCTTTAATTCTTTTTACGTATAAAGTATTTTTCAAAATAATTTTTTTTAGGTTTCAAATCAAGCAAAGACCGTATAACAGTTTTATGCTGTGCTAATGCCTCAGGAACCCATAAGCGTAGGTTAGTCGTCATTGGAAAATCCAAAAATCCGAGGGCTTTTAAAAATATAAAAACACTGCCCGTTGATTTGTTGCTGCGAGGTGGCATTTGGGTCTGTGGGACCCATCGCCGGCTCTTCGGACTTCTTTCTATCTCCTGAGTTGGATCTGGTGTTTACCATCTTTGTATTGTCGCTTAAGAAAATGGTTAATACTACTACTGTTATAAATAACAGTTACAGTGACAAATATCTGTTATAGGTAACGGTTCCAAAGAACAGTTACAAAATAGCAGATCAAAAACGGAAAACAAGATAGATAAAATATTCTAAGTATTCCTTGACTTACGGAAGGAATAACTTAGTAAAACAAGAAAATCAAATGATATAAAATACAATGCAAAGAAAATATTTCTAATTGTTTCTTGACTTACGGAAGAAAAAACTTAGACAAAAGGTACCAAAAATCAAATAGTAATACAAAAAGCAAGATAAATATTTCTAAGTGTTTCTTGACTTACGGAAGAAACAACTTAGACAAAAATATAAGAAAAATAAACAATCAGAAAAATAATCAAATAAAATATCATATAGTCAAACATGCACAAATATAAAATCAAAGTTATATTCTAACCTGAAAAAGACTGAATATACAATATTAAAATACAAATAGGAAAAGAAATAAAACAAATAGATTAGTTGGAACAATATTAGCACCGACTAGGTCTATAATAAGAAGAGGCAAGCTCGTCTGGCTAATGAGAGAAAATCCACCTGCTTTTATGTAAAACAAATCCTTTGTTTTACGTAGCAAAGTGGAATTTCCTCTGCACTGAGCCAATCAGATATTTGGAATTGATCGGACTTGGAATTCCCAAGTATTCCGACCAATCTCCAAATTTCTCGATGCGCCCGGCACGGCTGTCGGCTCCTCAGAGCCACGCCTCCGGAGACAGATTATTATAATCAAAAGGCAGATTGGATGAATCGTGTAATTTTTAAACAGTGGTTTTTGAAAAATTTATACCTCAAGTTAGAGCTTATCTACAAGAAAATAATCTTCCACCAAAGGCTGTACTGTTACTGGACAATGCGCCATCGCATCCTGATGTAGAGCAACTAAAGTCAGCAGATGGGAACATATTCGTAGCATTTTTTCCTCCGAATTTAACATCTATTGCCCAGCCAATGGACCAAGGTGTTATCGAGGCCATGAAAAGGCTTTACAGAAAAGACCTTATGCTTCAACTGTTGGGAGAATGTGATATTGTGGGATTTTGGAAACGCCTAAATTTAAAAGAGGCAATGTATGCTGTAGCTCGGGCTTGGAGTAGAGTGAAAACGGATCATATTCAAAAATCATTTTATAAAATAATGACCTTAGAAGATATGGAAGATGAAGACGGTAATCACGTAAATGAAGGTGAGCTATCGGTCGAAAACATAGCATTTATAGCCTCACAAATCAAAGGTTTGGAACAAACAAACAATAACGAAATACACGAAAGAATAGAATGTGATCACCAAGAAACAGGGTATCAGATTATGAATGACGATTATCTAACAGAAAGTTTTGACACAAGTAGTGATGATGATGATGAGAATTGTGCTGACAATGATTGCGTCATTAAGACAAGTGATCGGGAAGCAAGTAAATGTACTTATTCATTATTTTGAAGAACAGAATGGAGCTGATGAAATTCATGTACTTCAGCTTAAAAACATAAAGGAAATTATAAAGTGTAGAAGTTACGAAACTCAAAAACAAACCAAAATTAGTGATTTTTTTTAAATATGTAATGTTTATTCATAGCATATACATTATGTAGAAATAATATGTATGTACTTTTATATTTTCTTACATGTATGTTGTATGTATCACGTTTCTGCTTTTCGTTTGACACATGCATTTGTCTAAATAAATTATTAAAAAAATAAATTGAGGTCTTTGGATTATCCGTGTTTTCGATTATCCGGCGAAGACTCGGTCCGGGCTGGCCCGGATAATCGAGGTTCTACTGTAGTTATAACACATGTACCTAACTTACCTGAAATGCTGAAGAAACTGTCTATCCGTATTCTGAGAAACAGTTTGTTCAAAAAAATTTCATTTTTTGTGCTATCTTGAAGCAGTTCGGTCAAAAACACGTTAGCCACTACGTCCAGTCCATCTTCACTATCTGAAGATGATGATTCTGACTCTGATTCCAACAGTACATTTATTATTAAGTCGATTTTTAATAAAAAGCACTCGAAAATGACTGAAATTACTATTAATTAATGCAAACGACTACTACCTATCAACGACAAGCACAAAATCATTCTTTATACAGTTTTATAACCGTCAATTTTAAAACGAACCGCGCACGCCTCAAAAAATCCGGAAATAATCAAGACCTTTTAACAAAAACTCTAACAACAAAATATCTAATTTACGATGATTAAATTGAAAAAAGACTCGTTACTAATTACTTCATGCTTTCGTTACATTGTTCTGTAGTATATCCTGAATCAGTGTGTAACTGAACGGTCAGCGGAACGAAAACTATAACCAAAGTAACTAAAATAACTTTACTACCTCGTACCACGCCCATCGTGCATAGTGAATACCCCCGCTTCAACAATCGACAGATAAGTTCGTTGATGTTTATTCGGTGCGATTTTGTTTAGATACTGGTCCGTTAATGTTGTGAAAGTTATTTTATAGTAGTTAGCACAATAATTGTCTAATTATGGATTTGTCAAAAAAGAAGCGCTCTCTGAATACACTTTGCTATCGCTTCTAATAATAAGGCGAAATTCAATTATTGCAACGGGATGTATTCGTATAAAGGCGAAAATGTATTAAATTTAAGAAAACATCTGAAAAATAAACATCCAACAATGGTTCTAGAGGAACCACTCGAAAAAAGAAGCAGCCATCCTGAAAGCACTAATCTTTTGAACATAGAAGTAATGTAAGCAGTTAATTTTTATTCTACGTGCACAATTGAATTTATTACATACATATATATTTATTTTAGGTTAATCTATATCAATTGCAACTTCAAGGTTGGAACAAAATAAAGTATGACCGACGATATACACTAAAGAGTAGATGTATACAAGACCCGAAGTATTGAAAAAAATTGGATTTCTAAAAACCAAAAACAGTCAAGTCTGCAAGGATATGTATCACGACCAATTTCATTATCACGTCAACAAAAAATTAGCGATTTAATATCAAATATGATAGTAAACGATCTCAAACCTTTTTCAGTTGTCGAGGATGGGGGTTTTCGCAAACTTTTAAATGAACTTGAACCGTCTTATGTTGTACCACACAGATCAACAAGTTCTCGAAGTTAAAGCTCTCCTCAAAACTGCTGAATATATCACATTAACCCCTTAACGTACGTACCCGTCTCAGACACGGGCGCACCTTACTGGTAATTTTGTACGCACTCGTCTGGGAGACGGGCGCCGGTTAAATTTTACCCATAAAATTTTTCAAGCCATTGCGAAGCAGATATTGGTATAAAGAGACGTACGTAAGCATATATCTAAAATATTTTTGTATTATAAAATAGATGACTCAGTATTGAGTTAGTTTAAAATATATTTATTATTTCATAACTTGCAATTTGCAATTGTCATCATTGATAACCGACATTATTATCGAACTTTTGTTTTTATACAAGCCTTATGTCTTGCCGGTGTAAAGTCTGAAGTCGATATTTATTGTCTTTTTGCGTTTGAACTAATTTGTGCCCTATTTTCGTTATATTATTATATTGTTTGGTAAGTAAATTTTGCATATAATAATAGGTAGGTTCGGGTAATGTGTATATTTTTTTGTTTTACTAAATTTCATTATTCATCTAAAATACCATATTGTGTGTGTGCCTCAATAAAATATTTTGGATTATTTGTATTTTTATGTAAATCATAAAACTATTTACCTATTCACCGTATTTCCTCTCCACAAATTTTTTAAATTTCAACGGATTTGCACAAAAAAAAAATTTTTTTCTCGTTGTTGGCGTGGGTTTATACCTGTTGCCTTATTTCACCGGCAACAGATTAGAAGCTAAGAGTGGTAACCTCATTATAGTTTTAAATATTACTATATTCCATTAATCATTTTAATAATGTTACCTAAAGTTAAAATTAAATTTATCTAATAATATACTGTTGGAAGTGCATCTTATGATCTTTTTAGTTCTCTGCAAATTAATGTTTTTTGCAACATAATCTTATAATGTTCATTGTCGTAAGCTTCTTTACATATTTAATATCATTGACTGCTACATGTCTTTTTGACGTAACACACTTCTAACTTTTCTATGGATGTTTTAGACATGAATAGCCACCTTCCTTGTCTTTTTTCTCTCCACCTTTTGACCGAAAAACCCACCACTCTTCGAGTGGTCCTTAATTTATATTGAATTGACGATCGTACTCCTTTTCTCGCCTCTAGTACGTTAAGGGGTTAAGTACCGACAGTTGGACTTCTATTAATACAGAAGGATGTGTAGCAGCTACACTACATTTTATATTAACTGATTGGCAGTATTAGGGGTATTTACTGTCAGGTTTTAAATATTCTGCGAGGCATACTGCTGAAAATATAGCCCGTGAATTACGGCGAGTTGCAGATGAATGGAGTATTTCTGACAAAGTATACGCTATAACTACCGACAATACGGCAAATATTATAACGGCAGTAAAAATAACTGGCTGGGTGCATATTCCTTGTTTTGCACACACTATCAATCTGATCGTTACGAATGGATTGGTGCACATAGAGGAGCTGCAAAAAAAAAGTTAAAAAAATAGTCGAACATTTTCATATGAGTTCTCAAGCCACCGCTAAATTTATTGAAACTCAGTCTCAAATGAATCCCACTGCTACTCCTTTAAATATAATTAATGATGTACAAACAGGGTGGAATTCAACATATTATATCGTCGTTGATTCTGCAATACCTGCTATGTATACTGTTTGGTGATTTTTTAGGTTTTGTTATATTCAAGACTACTTACGTCTGCGCATCGGATGGTAATACGAGATATGTGATAAAGAGTACATTAAATTTTTAAATCAAATAATAAAAACCTGTTATGTGCTAAGGAATGATGGACAGTAATAGCTGTTATGTGTATCGGGATACATACAGCAGATATTATTTAGCCGATTTGTCCGGTGACTCTGCACATAGTAGTTAGTATATCCTGTAAAATCTGCTTTGTACATACATAAGTGCGAATGTAGTCGCTTCAAAACGATTTGCATTATAGTTTGTTGTTGCTATCAAGTTTAGTGAAGTAATAAGGCGTATTTGTGTTTTTTACTGATTTAACTAGTGTGCCTACCAACAAAATATATCCACAGTAAGTATAAAATTGTGTTTGCATGTATGAATGCACAATGTTTATCACGACCCACATGAATTAATTTGATACCGATAATATAGACAAAATTATTTTAATTAATACCTAAACTATAAATCAAAACGAGTGACTAAAAAAAACTAAAGGTCAGATTAAAAAATATAATGGTGTTTAGTGCAGTGCAATTAAACGAGCATGCATAAAAACTATTAAAGGAACAAAACGTTTTTGAAGTAGTTTTAATAGTAAACTCAATAATCATTAAGATTGCATAAGCATTGGGTGCCCGAGCCCCCATAGCGATTTTACTTGTGGGCTGAGCCCCCATAACAAAATTTGTAGGAACTTAAGCAATTTGTAAGTAATTTATTCACTGTGCTCTTTTATTATTGTAGTACTGGTCTCAAAAATATTATTAAAACATTGTTCGCTTAATCAAATCAGGTTTTCAGTTGTCTATAATACATTCATGTACGGCACATTTCATGTAAAAGTTGGATAAGTAAAAGTTGATTAATATAATTCAGGTACCAGCTTATATAATATTTATTTGTAGAGGTCTTCTCGGACTAAAAGAATATTTTTTGGCTATTGCAAGCACTTTACAAGATATTGATTCCTGATAAAGATCTACTTTTGGTGTTAAATAACGCTATTGGAAACGTTGACGAAGGTACAGAAACTCTGAAGGAATGTACAGAAAATATGTATATAGGGAAAGGAGCAGGAGATTCTATTACAGAACATGGAATTGTGAATGGAGGCCATGTATACGAAAATAATTATGCAGAGACAAACTTAGGTTTTAATGAGGTAGTTATAGAAAGGACCGATAAAGCGGAATATATAGATAATTTCGACGGAAACAAGAAAACTTTTTTCGACGGAAACAAGAAAAGAAGAGAAACGTCTAAAAAAGTAAGCGGTGAAAGTTATATTGGCTACAAAAGAACGCCCTTACGAGTAATTACCCACAACCAAGACAGAGATGCTCGGGCTATCAAAGGTCGCTGTCTTCATAATTCCCTGCCAAAAAGAAAAGGATGAGCTCATTTATGTGCGTTCAAATAACTGATGAAGACAGAAAAAATATTTTTGACAATTTTTTAAGAAAGCCTATATTAGGAGATTATTAGCCACAAGAGGTATTAAAAGAAGAAGAAAAGAAGTAGCTGGAAAACGTTTTAAAGCCGAATCTAAAATGGCACAAGTTGGATGAACACATTTCACAGGTCTCTTAAAAAAATATAAAATGGTGATTCACCATCCCGGAAAAGACCAGTGTGATACATGCTGTGGATTCAAACTTCGTACTGTAGATAATGAGGAGTATACCAATCACATCAAATGAAAAGATGATCACTGCTAAACGATCTGCCAAGGATAGCGCTAACTCGACAAAGTTGGTCGTAACAATGGATTTGCAGAGTGTCGTCCTTTGCCCAAAAACAGAAGCATCGGCAATGTACTACAAACAAAAATTGCAAGTTAACAATTTAACAATTTACGAGCTTAATAAAAGAGACGTTCTCGTGTCTCCTGCAATGAATTTACTTCATGCATAGGTCACTACATTTCTACAATGATATCCGAAACTTGTAAACATGTCCTGATATCAGATCATTGCAATTACCAGAAAAGGAATAAAGTATTAGTGCTTTAAGTGATCTTGCAAAAGGAAAATCAATCCTCATTGAACAGTTATTTTTAGAAAAGGGTCATACAGTGATGAGGCGGAAATAATATTAACTATTAAAAGACGAAAACTTGAGTACTTGGGACATGTGATGAGAGGGCAAAAATACGCATTATTACAACTTATTATGCAGGGCAAAATCAGAGGAAAGCGAAATGTGGGAAGACGAAGAATATCCTGGCTTAGACAGGCCATTCACGTTCCGACTTGTGGTCCCACTTAGTAGGACTACTAGTTGGATGTTCGTCTCCACTCACGCTCCGACTTCCTATCCAACTAGCGGTCCAACTTCAAATCTAGGTTGTTTTCACGATGGTGTACATCGCTTAACCAAAAAATGTTTCGAATAAACACTACGCAAAATATAATTAGGAGGAGGAAAATGGCAGCATTGTGCTTGTTATACTTATATTATGTATGTTATGATATGTATGTTTAAAAATTAGGTTTCGTTTCTCTAGTTATTTGTCTAGGGCTGAACTAATTAATTTTTTCAACCCTTGATTTTTATGACTTTTTAAGATGTAGGAAAAAATTATAGTTTTTAAAGATTTGTGTAGGTATAAAATCTATATTTTATTTGTTTTAAACTGGAGCTGGGATTTATTTTGTTGTGTGTGTGTCGTAGATTTTTAATATGAATAATTTTTCGTGCAATTGAAAGTTATTTTCTATTATTTTTTTGCGAACTAGGGATCTTTTGCTACAACTATGATTTAATTTTCATTGATTGTTGATAATTCTTCCGTAGCCAATCCGGAGTATCGGAAATTTACCTGTATAGGAATGTCCGAAATAGATCTACAGAAAAGAAAATGATTTGCCCTAACAAAAAGGTAATTTTCGTGCAATAGAAAGTTTATTTTCTATTAAATATTCGCGAACTAGAGATCTTTGCGTAAAGTATTTTATGGAAATCTAATACGTAACAGGTGCCAAAGGTCAACTGACTGAGGAAATTTTCGATCCAACCTGTGATCCGACTTCCAACTTCACCATTCACTCCGACTTCGTCGGCAGTCGGAAGTCGGATCTTCAAGTCGTCCCACTAGATGTTCCGAGTCGTACCACTAGTTGTCCAACTAATCCAACTAGCCCACTCACGGTCCGATTTCAGATCCAACTGCAGAAGTTGAACCACTAGTCGTACCACAAGTCGGAACGTGAATGGCCTGCATTAAGAACTTAAGGGAATGGTTTGAATGCAGTAGTGCAGAACTTTTTAGAGCGGCAGTCAACAGAGTCCGCATAGCCATGATGATTTCCAACTTTCGATAGAAGATGGAACTTAAAGAAGAAGAAGTGATGGAAACAGATAGTATCCATGCTACCCTGGAACAATACTTTAAGCCACCGATAAATTCGCCACCGGACTACATTGCTCGGATGAGGCTGGCCAGACTAAGCAGCCTTATAATATTAATGTGGTTGATTTCAACATTTTCCTGAAGTACGAAAGTCTAGGTACAAACTTACAGCATTGAGACCAGCAAAGAAAACAGGCGATCCTAAAGTTACAGACATACGCCAACTGAGATATTTACCTAGTGAAGAAATTTGTTTTCAACTAGGATACACAGGTGAATGGAACCCACTACCTCAAAGAAAAAAAATGGCGCAAGTATACCTAAATAATTGTACAGCTCAGAACTTCCAATAGCAGAATCTAAATTTCGTCATCTTCAGGAGCAAAAATCCGTCATTTAAAAAGATCACCATGCTTTTATGATTCTATAACGTTTAAACCACAATAAAAAAACTAAATTTAAAAGATTGGTACATATTTCCTTTATGTTTAAGAGTTTTATAAATTATAAATTACCTTTGCTACATTTATCTTTCAACAGTATTCGTTGGACAGTTATCAGGTGAACATCGTTCGATAAATCTCTGCCGGTGTCCTTAATTAGTGCTATTATCAAATTAATAGGTATTTAATTTGAAAATAAACCAACCGATCTTCAAAAAAGGTAGAATCTAATTATTTATTATTATGAGTGAATCGGGGGGTGGGGTGTTGAGGCAAATGTGCCATGTGTTAAAAAGGAGACTATGAAATATCTGTTATGTGACAGATTGAATATTAATTCCACTTTAAAAAAATTGCCTTAAATACATTTAAATAACTAACTCCACTTATTTTAATACATTTATTCATATGTTTAGTAAGAACAAATACCTATAAAATGTTGCTACTTAACGTAAAACAGGTTTTATTTTATTCCTGAAGAAAATTACATTTTTCACATAGCAGATATTGCAGAATCAACGACGATATGTTAGAAAGGGTAGTTAAATTATGTAACCCATTAGCTGCCGCAGTTACTATTTTGCATAATCCAATAAGTTTACCGACGGAAGAAGAATGGTTACTATTACAGGAATTCTGTAAAATCATAAAATCATTTGAGGTTGTTACTGTAAAAATGAGTTCCGAAAAACAGATAACTATGTCCAAAGTAATTCTGGGGTAATATCTTTAGAGCGAATAAAAGTTTAAATTAAAAGTCAATTAGGAAGAGACTTAATACATTCATTACTAGCCTCAATAACTACACGTTTTGTGAATCCTGAAAATAATATAATAATGAGATCCCAAGATTTAAAACTAAGGGATTCAATAACGATGGCTATTTAAAAACGGATAAAGAGAGACTTCAAGAAGAACTAGTTGGGCTAATTAGAAAAAGTCAACAAGATGCACATCAGTTACCGTTGACGGAGACGTCAAATACAGAAATTGACGACATCATTTGGCAAGATTTTGACAACTTGGTCAAATCTTCAAACACTGTAACAAGCCCAACGGCAGTGGCTATAGCTGAACTAAAAATGTTTTCAGAAGAGGCGAATTTAGAAAAAAAAAAACAAAATCCTCTGCTCTGGTGGAAGGAAAGAGAAAAGATATATCCATGGCTTGCGGTATTAGCAAAGAGATATTTGCCAGTAATTGCTACATCCGTTCCATGTTAGCGTGTTTTTTTCTAAGGCAGGCCAAGTCATTACGGAACGAAGGAACCGCTTGAAATCAAAAAATGTTAAAACTATTTTATTTTTAAACTGCCATGAAAACCTATAATAAGTGAAGTACATTTTAAAAGTTTTATATTTTTTCATTGTTATTGTTAATTATTTTATTTTTTATATTTCGAATATACTTTTTGATAATTAAAAATTTCTGGTCTTTTTGTTTATACTACACATGAAACAGGCTATCATGCCTTATCTTAAATTCATAGTTATGAACTTACTTCTATTTTTTTTTAAACATATATACCTAACTATCTAATACTTTAACAAAAGTAGGTATATAGAAGTAACCGTTAGAAAAGTAGTTAATCGTTACCAGTACTGAAAAGTAACTAAAGTTCACATCACTATTCTGAACACTTTTAAGATGATCCGAAATAAACCCGAACACTTATATTTCTTCTGCATAAATTTTTAGAAGTTACACATAATACATATAATTTAAGACAAAAACTAAATTTAAGTTAAGTTCAATGTATTGCTATTAAAATATGCACAGTACAAATCTCTTAGGGCTTTGGCATCTAGACATGAATTTGCACGCAAATTAAGTAGTATCTCCTTTTCAGGTTTTATGAGACTGATAAGGAATAGATGAATGACTCGTTAAAAAGTTGTGCAAGTAGCAACAAGCCAATGTAACTATTATGACTTTTTCTGGTGAAAGCTCAATAGCCTTTTGAAAAATTCCAAACCTAGAAGCTAAAATTCCAAATGCATTTTCTACCAAGCATCGTGCAGCTGATAAACGAAAATGAAATATTTCTTGTTGTCTGCTGCAATTATTTTTTTGAGAATACGGTTTTAGCAAATTTTGATGTAAAGCAAATTCATCAGCTACGAAGACGTATAGAAAATGTTCGTCTGAACTTGGCAACTGGGTTGGAGGTAAAATACTTAATTGGCTATTTTGGCATAATTCCCAGAATTTGATGTAAAATAATACGCCACCATCGATACTCTTCCGTTAGCTCATACATCTACCATTATAAACTCTATCGGCATTTACTAGGGCCATTAAAACAATACTATGATACCCTTTATAATTGTAATATGTAGAGGCTGAATTATCTGGCTTTCGTATCGCAATATGCTTTCCGTCAAGTGCTCCTATACACTTTTTTTCAAATTGTCTTGTAATATTTTTCCATTCTTCATTAGTGGATGGAATGTAAAAATAAAGCGTAATTCGGATGATAACTCTACCAAACAAAGTGAACTTTTATCTTTAGCATGTAGCTATTTATCAAAAACAGGGTAGTAATGCCAACTTAAACATTGCCAAAGTTTGGGCCACAAAATTAGAAAACTTGCACCCACAACAATATTTATTTGCTGAAAGAGCTATTCACGATATACTGTTGAAGCAAAAATGGGCCAACTTCAACGACATTCTGTTTAAATAAATGAATACATACCACCCTCGACGACACCTGTTTCTACTAATATACCAACTCCATCACCAACATCAAATAGCACTCTACATACATTTCATTTGGAATCAGGTGAAGATCGTGAATAAACAGGTATTTCCTCATTTTTTCATACTTTTAATGGTTCAGTAAATTAAACATACATAAATTATTGTATTTTATTTCATTTTCTACACTTATCTTTATATAATTGCTTAAAACTTGACAAGTTTCAAGTACGATTTCACTGATACTTGATGGAAATATCAGTGCAGTAAACTTCATATCCTGAAAGCTTCTTCCTGTTGTTAAATATCTTAAAGTTACTGCTAGTATTACTTTTGGAGGAATTGAATTCCTCATAACAGTTTCTTTTTCTTTTTCATAACCATTTCGAGGAGCTGATTAAATAACTCTTCTGACATACGATAATAATTATGATAATCCTCTGTATTTTTTATTTTTATTTCATCTAGAAAATTTACATGCGTCACCTGATCTCTTTTTTTCAACCAGTCTTTCATCCAAATTCGTCTATTTTCATAATCATGCGAATTTGCTTGTCGACAGAAAAGTACTGATGAAAATTATATCAATATTACTGAACGTCTAAAGTACACAAAAATATTGATCATAAACTTGAATATTTACATCAGTAGAGATACTGACAGCAATCTTGATGGTCTAAAGGCCCTAATCGACAGGCGAGTAAAACTGCGGTTTTGTGGCTCGTCGATAAAGCTCGTCAGTCTATCATTGCAATACCGGGGTTTCATATACCTACGAGCCTGGCTCGCAGGCCGTCAATCTGTTTTATTTTTTACTTGGCTCGTCGTTTAAAACCGAACGTGTATAGCCGCGTCTCCACCGGCCGCACGCTCTGGGGAGGCCGCCTCGCGAGCCAAATGCTCGGTATGTGTGGACGTGCCTCGGGGTTGTGCGGGCGCACGCTGCCTCGGGTGACCATGCCTCGGAGCCGAGCCGTGGGATGTCGGTAAAATGCACGTGCTCAAAGGCGCCTCAGTGTACGTTGTTCGTTCAGTGTGGACGGAAGTGTATTGCTTGATTGCGAGGCATAAGCTTTGGTTGTGTTATTTAACATGAATACTCAAGAAGATTCGATTAACTTAATTAAATTATATGGTTCACACAGGTTGCTATGGGATCCTAAGTATCCCAAATACTTAAATAAAAGTCAGCGGGAAGATGTGTGGAGACTAATTGCGGTGGAAATGAAGTGTCCTGGTGGTGATTTGAAGAACAAAATGGAATCCTTGCTAGGTTCATATCGGCGAGAGAAAAGCAGAGAGAAAAAAGCCGTATTACAGGTTCAGGTAAGTTTTATTGTGTTTTTAATTTTACACTTTTAATTGTATACATAAAAATTACCTAATACAAATGAAAAATACCTACAATATATCTACCTGTACCTTACGTTACATATTACACCACTACATGTCATAAGTACATATTTAAACATTTTACGAATGAAAACCTCCAACATACCATGCGTTTGCGATGCACACGTAAAACATGTAACAGAATAAGTACTGATATTAATTTATTTATAATTGCACACGTAAAACATGTAACAGAATAAGTACTGATATTAATTTATTTTTAATTTGTTATAGGAACTGAAGATGTATACAAATTAAAGTGGTTTGGATATCCCCATTTTGACGTTATGAAGAACAAAAATGAACCTGGAGAAACTCAGGAAACGATGCCAATCGTAAGTAATATGTAATATATAGCTACTAATTATTACTAAGCATACTGTTGTTGCCATGGAATTGAGCCATTAGTTATAAAATATGTTGCTAAGTACGACCGTATTTATTTGGCATTATTAGAACCACGTCTAGGAATCGCAGCAAGTGGGGTGAATCCAACATCATTTTTCCACTGGCCAGGAATAAATTCACCATCTTCAAGTTCCCTGTCAAATAGCTCTGGAGGAATATTCTTGTTAGATGTGGTTTTCCGAATATAATTATATAAATATAGAGCTGCTAAGACAACCTTTGTTGCTTTAGGTGGCTCTAGCAACATAGGTTTTCTTACCTATGGGTTAGAAACAACCTCTTTTCTAACAACCTCTTTCTGGGTTCCCGTCAAATGGTTTCATGGTGTATTCATTCAGTGTAAAGGCCTTATCTGCCAAAATAAAATAAGGAACTTTATTTAGGTATTGTACTTGCAAAATATCTTCCTCAGGCACGTTTAACTCTTTAGTTTCTAATTTTTTGTATAACATCGTGTTTTTAAAAACTCCGCCGTCAGAAATTCGTCCTTTGCTACCTACATTTACATACAAAAAATTATAGTTTGCATCAACTAACGCAAAGAGGACAATGCTTGGAAATTGCTTGTAATTATCATAATCAGTCCCACTATTAATCGGTGCTTGCAACATAACATGCTTTCCGTCCATTGCACCAATTACGTGGGGGAAATTCCATTTCTTTTCGAATTCCTGTGATATAGCGAGCCACTCTCCCTCTGTTGACGGAATCTAAAAAAAATACTTTTTCTACTCTCTTACTAGTAAATTGTATATTACCTACTATTTGGATGCTAAGTAAATGCATCATAACAGATACTGACACGTAATGACTAGCACGTAATAAAAAAAATTACGCTTCAGTTTTATAAAAGGGAATAATATCACATAAGCCTCGTAAGTCAGTTAGACGAGTTACCATGGAAACGAATTAACAGACGGTATTTTGACAGATTAAAAATTATTAATCTGTCAGTGTAAATATAGTGGTAATTTATTTTTCTTTTTATAAACGAAAATAATCGTAGAAAAAGTATAGTACACAACTTGAGTTGTAAGCTTATCACATGCTTGTAAAATTACTGCGCTCGCCGCTACGCGGCTCGCGCGCAACTTTTTTACTCGCATGTAATAAGCTTCTTACAACTCTCGTTATGTAATATACTATTAAGGGTGTATCTGCGTTGCTTCGTGAACCTACTTTGTAGCGATTTCTCGCTTAATGTTGAAAAAAAAATAGATGTTATAACAACATGCTATGCCTCTATCTTTTTGGTTTTTTGATATTGATTTTAGTTTATAAGAAAACCAATATTGAACTTAACCCCAAAACATTATCAAAATTCTTCAACTTTATCATCAATTTAAAATACAACCACTTTTTTTTTAATCGGAAAATATAGAAGCATATATTTATCTATTCTTATGACCTCTATTTTTTTTTCAATATTGAGCGTTAATATATGAATAGAAGAGAATAAATCACAAACCACGTTTATTAGTAGAGGGGCAAATTATTTTTTTTTTTCAGGAGGAGAACCAGCAATCCTCCCCAACGTCTTACGCAGTCGAAGCTACTGAGTACGCTTCAACGGCAAGGCCATCTGGATCCAACATAAACGAAGAGGGGCTACCGATGATACAACACCCAGAACAACAACACACAGGCGAGACATCTACATGTGAACCAACATCCACGCGTAAAAAAAGACGCAATAATCCGAAACCACAGCCGGACACAGAGT